TCAAAGATCGCCACTTTCACTTTGCCGAATTTTCCTCAAGTTGATAGTGCAATTAAGTCAAGAATTACAAATACTTCAACATAAAAGATTATCGACTATCGATTATCACTAAAGATTATCGGTGCAAATATTTCAAGATTTGAAAATGTAGCTGGCATTACAAAGAAAAGTTAACTTACCTAAATTATATCTAACACAGCGACTAAACTCAGGCGAAGCTCTTTCAAACACGCGTGTCACCCAAAAACTGTAGGTCATTTGTTCATTTTGTTGCATCGAATTTGACGAAGTATATTCAATCAATTTCGTAGCAACTTTAAACACCAGAGTGTACAAATCATGTGACTTATATGATGCAGGAAAAAAGAGAGAACAAAATCTGTTAATCTATATTAGTTATGTAATCACAGCACATGATAAAAAATAATCCAACAGAAAAATTAAAAATCGCCAGTCATCTTTTTCGGATTAAATGAATTATATGTTTTATTACCTGCAAGTGTTTCGGTGTGCATTTTAACTTTATTTATTAAATGACATCCGAAATTATTTAATAGAATATTATCAATAATAAAATATTACAAAATAACCATTGTATCTTAATTTATATCAGAAATCCATGAAGAATAAAGCATATGAATAAACCACATCCCATAATATTGAGGCGTTTCACTGAGTGCATGATTTTTATTTCATAGGAAGCGGCTGATAATCCTCAGTCAAATTCAAACCCTTCAACAACACAAGAAACAGGTAAGACATGTGGAAGCGTGAATTATTTTAAAACAGCGTTTAGCGACCATGGTCGTTGAGTTGACTCCGTGAAATTTCCGTCCGTCAAATCAAGCTTTCATCAGGGCAAAACCAATACTTTTGTTGCACTGATGATAGAGATTGGTGTGAAAGATGCAAATTAAACTTTGCAGGTAACTAAAGCTAATTAATTTTTCCACTGTGCAGGAAATCTTATAAAATTAAACTTGTCCCTTGAGGCACTTGTGCACACAAGCGTCGTTTTCTAGCGTTTTAAAATTGTTCCATAAAAGGAAAAATATGCCTGATAATTATGTTAACATATAGCTTCAACGTCTATTGTAAATTGACGGTGTTTAAAAACTTTTTAGCATGAAAACAAATGTAAAAACACTAAGGCCCGTATTCAAAAAGCTCACTCACACTCACACTCATTGAGTGTGACATATAAATTTTGTTAATGCTGATCAATGAGAAAGTTTTCTCTCAATAGATGAAAAGATATAAGGTAAATCACTGAAAATCAAGCCCCTGTTCAGCTGAAAATACCGCCATTGAAATGTTATGAGAAGATTAAGATCTCCCACTCAATGAGTTTGAGTGTGAGTGAGCTTTTAGAATACAGGCGTAAATGTCGTTACCGTGGGCGCATTACCTGAGCTGATTCGTAAACTTGGGAAAGATTTCAAATTAGCTAAATTATATTATATACACTTCGCATTAATTCTTTTCCATGCAGTAAGTGTTGAATTGTCGTTAGGATATTAATTAAACGTATATTTCCAATTTTTTCTAGTGGTTGAAACCCCTATACAATCTTGCAAAGAAATCCAGAAGAAAAAATTGTTAGTATGCAGTGTAATGCATGCAGCAAGTGTAGTTTGAGATAATTTTTTCCGTTCCCTTCAATCTGCATGACCTTTTCATATTGGGCTACCGAATGTTGATCGCGCGTGGGAAGACATTAATTTATTAAATTGTAATATTCATAATATTATGCAACCCTAAAACCAAATTACCATTCAAATATCGAATACAACAGCAATGCGCGAAGCTAATTAATGGATAACTCCGCCTAATTTCAACGTCATATATTAGGATAAATATTTTAGCTTCAAAGCATGTTCAACAACATATACATTAGCTTGGCACCAGAGCCGAATTAAAATCTATTAGGTCAGAAAATAGTGCGTAGGCACAGAACAAAAGATTTCCTATTGCCTTTGGAAGGTACCTGGGGTTAAATATAAAAACAAGCAAAATCTTATGAATGTTCTAATGTATAAGTCTCCTTATTTTAAACATGCGTAACTAATTCACACATTCGCATCTATGAAAAGGAGAAATTTGCACATAAAATCGCGCATAAGGCAACAGGTGCGAAATTTGTTTCCGCTCTCCAAGAGATCGCGGGCGAAAACTAAACACATCGTATTTTCATTCAAAACAAATCAAACGTTATTAAAAGGCTGTTTTTAAGCGAAGAATTATTGCTTAATCTTCAACGATCTACAACTTAGTAGTTATTCTTTTTGAAAATCGATCCTTTGTTTCTTGTTTTGGGGGGTTTTTTTTGCAATCGCGTTGGTGCATAAATGAATTTGGTGACGTGAACATGAAGGGAATGCTGTATACTTTATCATCGGCTTGCTTAGAAGAAACGCAATCGACGATTAAAACGCGATGTGTGAATGAAATGTAAGTTAAAACTAATGTTATGTTCCTCAAATTACTCATTCTAAATTGCTAAAAGTAACTCTTGCGATTTAAGTTCAAGATTCAAAGTCACAATATTCGACCAATTTTAATGTTCACAGATTTTAGCATTTTTACAACCTCTTTTACCTCTAGATTTGGGTGGTCTGGATCAACATTAAACAGTTCATATAATATGTTGCCTTCTTCCATTGTGCTTGAAAATATGTTGATAAGTTCTGGACGTTCTGTGGATGAAGATAGGGAAACCTGATTATTATTAATTGCTTCTATGGCTCCTAAGACTGATATTACAGTACAAGCATTGCTACCAGAAATTTGGCCAAGTGATGTGGACTGTGAAATGTTGTAAGGAAGCAGCCACTCAGTCACCACAGGGTAAGTATTTTGAACTGCTATTGAAAATGTTTTATACTAGAATATTACGACATAAATAAAAGTATTAACTTACTATCATTTAGTAGTGTTATGTGGCCCTGAATTTCATTAAACGTCGAAAGTGGAATCGGGACGTTTGGTTCACAACTTCGCTGAACATCATCACAATTCGAGGTTTCGTCAGCACTCCCAGCAGCTCTATTTGGACGAACAAGTGCACCAAAAAACATTTTTTTGGCCGGCCAGGTCGCTTAATTTTTTAACTTTTACGCTGTGTAATTTATATGGTGTTAAAATAATGAAGTTTTTAGTGTCGTAGAAGAAACAAAACTTGTAAAAGGAAATAACAATATTTGACAGAATTAAAAACTTACTTTTGCAAAATATTTTCTATTTTCTTTGTGCTTGTTGAGAGCCCTGGTACAGGAACTACATAAACTTAAACTATTTTATTTATTTTTTTCTCTACTACGGACAACTCCAAAACATTGACGAACAATCTCTGGGTCAAAGTTTACACAGTAAAAACGGTCTTTTTTCGAGTTATAAGATGTTTTCTCACACACTTCACATTTTTTAAAGGACTTTTTCCTGCTAAAATAAATTTTAATTCACAAAAATCCGAAAAGTTATTACGTTTTTATTTATTACGTTTTAAATTTCCCGCGCCTTGTGTGCAAACACGCATTGCGTGTATTCCACGCAATTTGCGTGGCTCAATTTGCTTGGGCATGTGCAGTCAAATTTCCGACCTGTTGCATAAGGCCCGTTTACACTTGCGATTCTTGCTGCGATTTCATGTGCGATTTTCTTTTTTTGATAGATGTGAACGAGTAATAAATTACGTGCCCCTATACTAGAAATACACGCACGCAGCAACCTCTCGCCATTTCAAACGAAGCAAAATATTTCCTGAGCTAGCCAGACATAACCTTCAATATTATGAAATGTCCTAAATGTAAAGCCGATAGCTGATGTTTCAAATATTTCGGAAACAAACACAGTCGTAAAGGTGAAGTGAAATCACCCGTTTTCCTGCTGCTTTCCGTTGCATTAAGTTATAGACTTTCACAGTTTAAGTGAGAGTTAATACTTCATTATAGCTGAACCTTCAAAACATCAAAACAGCCCAAATAATAGAAATAACTAAGCAGTGAACGTCGAATGTTGTTTTTCGATTATTAAATTCGTGTAGTGATTCCAGTCGACTCTATAAACCTTTAAAGTGATATTTGTTATATTAAAACTCCGTATTACACTTTTAAGGACTCTTTTGGAAGTTAAAACGATGATGTAAAGCCTTAAATAGTCGGTCACGTCTTCTTCTTCGCAAAACCGAGCAAAACGACATACTGTACCAAAGTCATAAAATGTATTCGTACAGCAAACACGAAATAAACCTCGAAATAAACAAAATAGACTCCTATCATTCCAAGGATTATAATCGAGTTGTTCCTTTTCACCGCTAATTCTTCCAGTTCTGATAATATTTTAAACTCTTCCCAGTGTTTTATCTGTTATTTGATTCCACATTTCATATTTTGTTTTCGAAACATTTTTTTAACAAAATAGTTTGCAAAATGATTAAATGACAGTTAAATTGCTGACGTTTTTCACTGAAACAATCATGACGTTTTTCACTGATTGTCTTAGCCAATCAGGAAGTTGCTGATTACCAGTCTACACTCGTTTGCATTTCGCGCATGCGCACAAGTACCATGACCATTGATCGTCCATGGTCCAAATTCCAGGTTTAGGCGACTTTGGATTCCGCTATGTTCTCCCGGATCCCGGGTGTAATTCCTAATCTCCGGGCGGAATTAGTACCCTCGCACGGTGCTCCGCACCGGCTCGGGGATAAACATCCGTATATAACTGATTCACTCATTCGCAGCTACCAAAAGGAGAAAACCATTCGTAAAGACTAATCTTGTCGCCTGACAACTTACATAAAATTGATAGCAGTGAGAAAACGAAAAGCTTTTAATTTTTTATGCGAAGACCGCTGGAAAACGGAGCCCTCTTTTTTAGGAGAAAATTAGCCAAATTTGATCAACGCGGTCAGTTATAAATTCGTCAAAACTCATTTACATTACTCAAAAGCCTTTTTGCAACCTAGATCATCACCAAGCGGTATTTATTCACTGCAAAATATGAACGGATCTTCGTACAGAGTTTATTGTCACATGAAAGGAATATCTAAATGCGGAACAGGAGGTTGGACACTAGTTATGAAAGTTGATGGCGAAAAGGTAAACAATTATAATGATATTGGAAGTAGCTACTTTATGTAAGATAGTAGCTACTTTATGTTAAGAATTTTCTAATTCATCTAAATATCCTGTATTTCCTCCTCGCTGGTGATGGTCTCAAATTATTGGAAATTATTTGGACATTCTTTACAGGACACATTTCATTACAATTCGTCTTACTGGACCGATAGGAAAGTTTTCCACGAAGACGATGGACTCGAGGGAACGTCAGAAAAAGAAACAAAACTTGCTTCATACTGGAACACACCATTCACGAAGATATGCCTCGGTATGAAGGACAAGAGTGAGAGTGTAAAGTGGATTCTGATTGAACATGAAGCAAACTCGCTTTTCGAAGTGATCGCAAATGGAAAATTTATCGAAACAAAAGTGGGAGACAATCAATGGAAATCACTGATGACTAACTCGGAATTACAGCCCTACTGTAACAAAGAGGGTTTCAACATTGATGGAGGAAGGCAGACGTATTTGCGTATAGGGCTAGTGGCTAACAATGGCAACGACGACTGTGAGTCGTGCAACTCTTGTATTGGTTTTGGTGCTTCAGTACGTGGGTGTGTTGATAACAAAATAAGTAATATTGCCTGTGGCAATATTTATGACTGTGGAGAAACTTACAGGTATACCCCAGTTTCCGGATACATATATGTGCAGTAGCATGTGTATCGATGAGGAGCTGAGTAAAACTATTATGATATTAACTTTGATATTAACTTTGATTATAATTTGATTAGTTTAGTTTGATTGACGTTTCATGTAGAGCACGAGGTTCACTAGGTAATATGAGCTGATTATTACGAACTGTAGTCTGCATGTATGTGAGAACACGTTTTGTGTGCAACTGGTAAATTTACTCTGTTCTGTGCTAACCTGTGAAAATACGGTTTATGGATTAATACTGGGAAAGATATGTAGAACGCGGAAACCCGGCAAGAAGTAAGTAAAGATCAACGTTTATATGTAATTTACATAGCATTCGAATATGATAATAAGCACATGTAATCTAATTTATATTTAGCCATATTTTGTTAATCCTTATTTTATAGATCGAATAATTTTAATTCAAATACGAATTTCATCACAATAAAATTCCACAAATTATACGATTCCGTGTACTGCGTTCTGATACACCAGCATGATAGTTCAATTGAGCATGTTTGATACAATGGGGGAAATATAGGGCCATATGGGTTGTCAGAAGTAATTATTTTGAAACTCATAACTGGCGCTGCTATTAGGGTGTTTAAGTTTAGCTGTGTATTTTATTCTGACATAGATCCGCCACTGGTTTAATAGAAACTTTGGAATTTAATCTTCTGTAGTATTACTATTCATTGCACGTAATACTATTTTCTATAGCATCGTATTATTAATCACAAACATTCCACATCAAATTTCAGCAGACGACTATACAGCAGACGTCGCAAGTTATTAGGGAGTTTAAGCTTCGCGTTTCTCGAAAACGGTAAATGGCAATTTTACAGAATATCATATCCACCTCTTCATTAATTTTGATATATTCTCTCATATGTAGGCATTGAACGTGGCTGGAGTTTAGTCGAAAATCGTGTCCATTTGCCATTTGTTGCCTTTTAGTCTGAAATCTTTCTTCGCCGGCCTGGGGCCGATTGTATAAAAACGTAGTTAGCTTTTAACTATAGATGGTGACAGAATTGACCAATCAGAGTTAACTGTCAATTAACTTTTCAACAACAAGTATTTCTGAGTTAACTACGATTTAACTACGCAAAATGTAGTGATTAAGAGTTTTTTTGTTAAGAGTTCACCCATAATGTGAAGCTTAAACCACCTTTTGATCTCCGCAACAACTATAGAACAATACCTACAAATTGAAATATTGTAAGCTTTTTTCCATTTTGTTTTGGCAGAGATTTAAACGCCTTCCAATGAAATTTGTCATTTTCCAAACTTTAAAATTTCGCCAAAATTGGCCAAATTTTGCTAAATTCTGCGGAATTTTGATTTTTTTCCGGGTTGCCAGGTCGTGGTATATATGTACCTTTCCAGTTATGCAAATTGAATTCTGTGTCCAAAACTTCACAAACCTTACCAAATAACCGGTCTCTTTTCCTAATTACTAATATACACTGCAGCCAGCACACCAGGACAAAGCGACTGAAGATAACTGTCATCATGTCGGATTCCGCTGGCAGCGGGTGGTTGATATGGCCCAGTGTAAATCTAAAGAGAACAAAATTTATGTCAAACTTTTCAATAGCATATTGCTAGCCAGTATTCTGAAATTGAATTTTTCTTTTAAAACCCAAAGGAGGACAAAGCAGGGAAAATTGGATATCAAACCCTGCAGTATAAGCTTAAACAATAAGATAGAGTGTTTTTGTACTGAGGTTTGTGCAAGGCTCATATAACGCATCTAACGTACGTATCTCCCTACAATTTTGTAATACCTCTTCTCAAGGAGCTAATTCCTCGGAATAATTTTTTACTGAAATATGCGCGAAGAAAATATCTTTGTCCCATTGAAAATTTTGACATTTTTTTAGACTTTTAAAATATTACTAAAAGTTCAGTATGGCGTGACTGATAGCGTATACATTATCCGTTTTGCCATTTTAATGAATTTTGGCGTTTCGATTTGAATTAAATATTTTATGTTTATCGTGGTGTACGTCCCTGAACTGTACATGCATTTATCCGCACCCTTTATATGTATAAAGTATCAAGGGCTGGGTTTAATCATATAGTGTTCAACATGGCGTGTTTTTCCCGTGCAGGTTTGCCAGTAGCCTGCGGTGCAGACGCTTCGAATTCCTTCGTGCATGTTCCTTTGTAATTCGAAGCGTCTGCACCGCAGGCTTTTGCCAGTGCCTCAATGTTTGACGTCAATCAATCTTAGCTGTTTTTGGTAACACATTTTAGCTTTGTATGTATTGGCGGAAAAACTGCATGTCATCATCGAATTGCAAGTTGACATTAGCAGTGCTTAGATATAATACAGCCCTGATCGTTTTATTTTACTTTAAAAATCTAAGCGAGCGTCGCCCGTAATGGAAAAACGCCTTATCCTAAAATCGAAAGTATCCATTCTCATTTACATGGGTATGGTGTTCCATTTATCCCATGCACGTGTCTTTAAAATAATTAAGTTAAATGAATATTCTTGTATGAAGTTACGTGCCAATATAACCAGGGAGCAGCGCGGCAGCGTCTTCAAACAACTTAGCATCAAATGTGGTATTTTAGGCAGTTGTTATACCACATTTGATGCTGTTGTATAAAGATAGGTGGATATACATGATAGGTTGTTATACAGTGTGTATAAAAAAAAGTAAAGATTCAAAGGGTCTTAATTTCGAGTGGAATTACACACACTTCGAATTCAAGCCAGGAACAGTTGATGGAAAAATGAATCAACTATTGACTATTCCTGCCGGAGAACTATAGATCCTTCGGCAGGAATCGCGATGCCGGTGCAATGCGCAGTGGCTCTAATTTCAAGCGTGTATAATTCCACTCGAAATAAAGACCCTTTGAACCTTTAGAATTTATCTGGATTTTGTTGGACGTAGGGTCTTTCACACATTTTGTTGGACGTAGGGTCTTTCCGAGGAACGACAGTTGAAGGTCGACTGGCCTTTGTTGCAGTAGTTGACGAGTGCCAAACAATATGAACTGAGTTTTTTCCGGATTAATGAGCAGCTGGTTAAATTAAACACCAGCCTGCCACCCTATTAAGATCGTTTGTAAGGAGGTTCAAGCCATCCGCGAGATCAGCAACTTTAAGTGCTGCATAGAGTTTCGTATCATCAACAAAGGAGTCAATCTCAGATCCAGTGCAGGCATTGGGAAGGTCATAGATATATAAATTAAACAGTAATGGTCCCAGAATGGAGCCCTGCGGCACACCATGAGTCACGGTCCTAGAAGATGAGAGGGTTTTGCCGATTCGGACTTGTTGCTCACGTTGAGAAAGATAACTTGCAAACCAACGTAAGACATTCGGTGAAACACCAAAGTTTTGCAATTTCTTCAACAATAACGAATGGCTTATACTGTCGAATGCTTTAGTAAAATCAAGAAGGACCATTGCAGTTATTTGTTTTTTGTCCATGGCGTCCAAGATGTAATCAGTTACTGCAAGGCCCAATGATTCGGTTGAATGTTGTTTTCTGTTTCCACTTTGGTTAGTTGGGAATCTTTCGTTTTGGATAAGGTAATTTGTAAATTGATTATGGACTACTCCCTCGCAAACTTTAGATAAGACAGGCAGCAAGGAAATTGGGCGATTATTCTCAGCTTCTTCATAATCATCATTCTTTGGAATAGGGGTTATCTCAGATATTTTCCATTGGCTGGGAAATATTCCTTTGAGAAAGCTTGAGTTTATTATTGACGTGATCGGTTGAACAATGGAAGATAAACAGTCCTTGAGGACTTTTAAATGGACTGTATCGTTACCAGGAGCTTTATTGGAGGGCATCATGGTGATAATTTCACTCACTTCTTCTGTTGTCACTTGTCTAAGTTGAAACATATTGTCGTCCACTGTCGCTGTAGTCGAAGCGTTTTGCTATTCTCAGTTACACGCGTCGGTTTGTCTATGATTTGCTTTAAGTTATAATTAGCACAGAATTCGTCCAAAGCTGTAGAATGACGATTATTTTTGAGCATGTCACAGTTGAGATCTCCAAGGAGTACTACGTCCTTATTTAGTGTTAAAACATAGTTCATAATCGGTGATAGATGATTACTTAAACAGGATATGGGACAATCTGGTGGTCTATATACCACTCCAATGACCAATGATCGTAGTTTGCGTTGTTGACACTGAATCCACAATTGGTGAAAGTTGTCTGATGAAATACTGCTTAGGTCTTTACGCAGTGTAACTTTAAGTCCATGCCTAGCATATACACAAACTCCACCCCCTCCTTTTGAAATTCCATTTTCGCGCTGCGTTTTCGTTTTGTTTCATTGGCGCTTCGTATGATCCCTGTTTGCCCGAGAAAAAACAAAGTAGGCATGTCATTATTATTTATAGGGAATGAATAAAATGACAATGTCGGTGTCGTAGTACGAGTAAAATTTTAATCTCGAATGCAGCTGAATGTATGCAGTAGCGTAGGCAGCCCGACGATTTTTCCCGCTATATGCTAATATTTTGGTGTTCATTGACTGTGAAAACAATGAATTTCTAAAGGCATGAATAATTATAATAACTTGAAATTTACATAGCGGCACAAAATCTTTAGGCTGCATGGCTACGCCACTGCATGTATGTGAATAATTTGATCAATGTATATAAACACTCTCCTTATTATACAAGACCCTTGTCCCGGCGAGACTGTTTTGATATCAATAAAGTATTCTATATAAATTTATAAATGCCTTTTATAGATATAGCCTTGCCCTTAAGCGATATGCATACAGGCAATGCGTGAATGCCATGAAAACACAAATGTAGGTTTTGTGGGCAAAAGGGGAACGTCATGAGTAACTTATTGAAAAGTTTTTTGTAAATCAAGGGGCGTAAAAAATAAAAATAAACAGATGATAGTTAGTAATTTGTTAGACAACCGCCAACCATGTGGTGTGTGTTCCTGACTGTTCCAGTTTGTGGACTATATATCCACAAACAAGCGTGATTTTTGGCACTTCACTTGACGCACGTAAAT